GAGTCAGTATTGAAATGGCCCTCGCCTCACATTTCCTGTGGGAGAGAGATGAAGAGATGGTGGCTGCTGCTCAGGAGCCGGACAGCACATAGATGAGGTGCACCCGCTGGAATTCCAGCCACAACAAAAATTCAAACCAGGAAAATGAGAATCAACCAGTTAAGGGACTTTTTTTTTCTTTTAGCTGAGAAATAATATCTGAAAGATCTAAAAGCCAATAGTGCAGAAATGCTAGAGAGGCCTTGATGGAATCCGTGGTCTAAGGAGGTATAAACGGGGCAGGTGGGAGGTGGGGCGCAGAGGTAAAGGCATCAATGCAGTGCCTCATGGACCACGCTGACCAGCTCACTCTTCAGCTGTTAACGGAACAGGAAGTTCAGAGTTTCTGATCAAGTTGGTCTTTCTTCATTCTGAATTCCAATCCACACAGGAGAGGGCCACAGAAAGCAATCTAATCAGTTTGCATTAATGAGATCTGCTTTATTTTCCATTTACCTTCCTTACCACATCATCGTTTCTAATTTGTTGCTGTTGATCCTACGGTTAAAGAAATTTAGGCTCTCCCCCCCCCCCCATTTTATGCATGAATATGAATATGTAGGGATCTGAGGTCATATTTAGTAGCCATGAATTTAGATTCAGTCCAGAAATATATATTTACTTTGCCAGCACAGGTTTGTTTGTTTATTTAAATTGTTTGCCAACATTTGAAAAATTTTGGTGATTTCACATAAAAATCTGGATTTCCAGAAAATCTGACAATTGGGACTGCCTTCCTTCCGCATGCTAAGGAATAGAGGTGGCTCTGCTCCTTGGGTGAATTACTGCCGAGCATCCTCTCTGCACTATTATCTCACACACTGAGGCCAAATTCTCTCTCTCTCTCTCTCTCTCTCTCTCTCTCTCTCTCTCTCTCTCAAAAACAAATTAAACCCTAACTCCTAAGCATGTGAGTTTTGAATTTCTTAATTGTCTCTCTCACTCCCTTGAGAAACAAAAATATAGATAAATGCACATATTTAGTATATGTATAATAGGTGAAATCAAATGCAGTTTGACACAAAAAAAGGCAATTTTATTTGGCTTGAACCTAATGCCAATGTTTTGCATTATAGTTGTCGACATAAAGCCTATGTGTCAAAGCAAACTTAAGTCTTTATTCCAATAACTATAAAGGACATGTTTCCTAGTAGAAAAGTACCTTGTTGACCTCCCTACTTGTATTTTCAACATTTCCTGAAATGTTTACCATTCTTTTACCTCTAAATCCTACTCATGCCTCAAGCCCTAGTTCCAAGTCCATACCTTTGATGACCCAATTTCTCACTAATTTTTAGACCTCTGAACTCATGTAGTATTCATAAGTGGTAGCACTCACTTTACTGCTCAATTTTATGTAGTCTTTTCTTGTTTTCTCTGCCCAGAATTATGATTGTAACCTGACACAGAGATCCATCTTTTATCAAATATTCTTGGATCTCCAAGAGCATTTAACACTTGCTGACTGATTACTCTCTTATAAATAACCTACTTAGACAACAAAAAATAATAAATATCCCTTATACATGAAGTAGTTCACTGACTAGATCCCCTTTAGTTACATAATATGTAATTTTATTTTATTGTTTGCTATATTGTAGCTCTTCTGTTATTGTGCTTTGAAATACCAATAACTTTAACTCTAATATTTAAGTCCCATAAAATTTTATGAAGAAAAATTTCATCAATTTTCAAAGAACACTGTCAGAGATAAATTCACTTATTTTAAAAGCTTTATTATTGTAAAATAAAACTCAGATACAGAAAACCACAGACAACAAATGTATAGCTCAATAAATTGCTTTAAGTTGGAGTTAAACCTTTTTTTTCTCTATTTCCTACAAACTGGCATTTGGATCTAGAGGTTTAATCAGGCTAAGTCATTTTTATCTTTTTGGCAAGACTCTTCTAGAGCAAGCATGTCTCGTATTAGCCTTTGAGTTTGACATGCTTGCTCTACTGGGTCGTGTGCTTTTTGATTGGTAGGAACATGATATCTAGATGTTTCCACTTTGCTCATTGCAGCTGCAAACTAGCAGTATTTGAATTCTATTACTGGTCTTATAAATTGGAATAACTTATAAGGAGATGCTTTCCCTCTTATGCAGTTGGTTGCACAGAGTTTATTTAAGAAAGACACATTAAATATTTGAGTTTTTACCCAGTTTTCAAGATTATAATTTGGTCGTCTGTCAACCTCACAATGGACCAACTCTTATTATTTTTAAAAATATCTTTATGGAATCATTGGATTGTAAAGCAGTTCCATTTTATTATTTTTTAAAAAATATATTTTTATTGATTTCAGAGAGGAAGGGAGAGAGAGATAGAAACATTGATTATGAGAGAGAACCACTGATTGGCTGCCTCCTGCACACCCCCCACTGGGGATCATGCCCACAACCTGGGCATGTGCCCTGACCAGGAATCAAACTGTGACCTCCTGGATCATAGGTCGATGCTCAATCACTGAGCCACACCAACCGGGTTCATGGTGGTTTTAATGTGCATTTCTCTGATGACTAGTGACAAAGGGATTAAGCAAAACAAACAAAAACAAAACAAAACAAAAACCCTCATAGACACTGACAACAGTATGGTGATTACAAGAGGGAAAGTGGGGTGGGGAGAGGTAGAAGAAGGTAAAGGGGATAAATGGTGACAGAAAGAGAGACTTAACTTTGGATGTTGAATACATAATACAATGTACAGATGGTGTTATTATAGGATTGTGTACTTGAAACCTACATAATTTTATTAACCAATGTCATCCCAATACATTGAATAAGAATTACACACACACATAGATATATATCTTAATGAATTTATCCACTTATATGTATTTGTTGGGCTTTAATCCATTGCAACTTTTTTCTCTATGGAAGCTCAGATTGTCCTCGTCTTTGGTCTGTGGAAGCCCCTTCAGGTTGATTTGTGAATCCATTTGACGTGAGCCTATTAGTCTGGTTGTTTCCTTTCTATCTGATACTTCAGGATGTTTCAGGCTCAACTGATATAAGCTGGAGTCATCTCAGACCAGAATCAATCCACTCTCCAATAAGCCCTTGTTTCTTGCAGAGGGAAATGTGTTTTCAAAATCCAAGTCTTGGTGCGGGGATACTTTTTCTTATTAAGTCTGTTTCTAAACTTTTCAGTGGACAGAACTAAAACAGATAAAATACCTGTGGAGTTTAAACTGGTTTTTCTAATTAAAATTTTGGAACACAGTACTTTATGTAACCTTTCCTATTTTAAATCTGTATGTTGTTCCATCCACATCAAGAACCCGGTTCTCGAGGACACAGGGGATGATAGAGTTAGAATTTTTTATGATTACACATTTGCTTTATCCCATATTATGTTAGTTTCAGAATAACAACAATAATAGTATCACCAGAAATAATAATTATTGAAACATTTTTTGCATATGCCATCCCTATTGTTTCTTAATTTTGCCTATGGTTGTAATATATCTTCAAAAGCAGAATATGTAGCCCTACAAAATAAAAAATCTCCCTCTTAACCCTCACTTAGTCTTAGTTCATTAAATGTATTGTTTACCAGTTAGCTCAATATCTCCCCTGGTCATTTCAAATGTCTAAAACTCATTTCCTAGTAGTGTTCAGAGTCGGGGGAACAATATCCTGATTACTTGTAAGTTGGTAACTTAGTTTTCATTTTGTTTTGTTTTCTTCTTGTTTTATTTATTTGTTCCTCTTGATACCCTCTATTTCTAAAGTTATTTTTTTCACTTATATATAATTCTTGAGTTATGCCAATTCATTTCTGAGCTTTTTCTGATTCTATGTTGATCTTGCATTTTTGGAGTTTTATTTTCTTAATGTTTGTAAGCTCATTTTGAAATAGTAAATTGCAGATTTGATCAATTTTTTGTGTATTTTTTATCCTGAGTGTGTGTGTGTGTGTGTGTGTGTGTGTGTGTGTGTGAGTGTGTGTGCTTGTCTACAGGAATGATACTCTCCTGATTTTATTTTGTATGAAATTTAACCTCAACAGAATTTTATTGCTTTCTTGCATGTGTTTCTTTTTCCTGTGCTCCCAGGGGTTCATTTGCTTTTCTCAGCACACAGAGCTCCTCGCCTGTTGTTTTCATTAGACCAGGGCTCCTGGCTCAGCACAGTAGAGCCTGTGGGTCAAGCCTGGCCCAGGCCCTGTTCTTGTTTGGATCCCACTGAACTAAGAATGGTTTTCATCGATTTGAAGCCTGAAGTACTGTGTGAACAGACAAAGCAAACACAAATATGTGACAGAGGCAGAGTGCTGACAAAGCTAAACTATGTCTTCCCTTTGCCCTTTGTAGAAAAGCTGGCCAACCCCTGATATGCACTAAAAATTGTGCACCTTTTTTCTAAGTTTTGTGGTGGTTCCTCTTTCCAACTTGTGTCTGTATTTTTTCTTCCCTTCATTTCTATTGCTTCAAATGTTAAATCTATTTCCTGTGGTTTGTCTTCAGTGTGAGCCTCGGCCTGAAAAGGAGACTGTGGGTTAATTTCGGGATTTATGTTTACTGTCCTCACACTGCTCTTCTGCATTTGCTAGCATTGCCTGCTGGTGACTTGAAATTACCGTGTCCTCAGCTTGGATGTTTCCCTCGGATTTCCCTCACACAGAAGCTGATACTGTGCAGGCCTGAGGGGGTTGTTTGTTCCTCTGTACTCACTTGTGGTTGAGGATGTGAGAGTACACCTCAGCACCTAGTGTTGTTGAAAATGATCAAATGCCTCTGCTTTTCTATCCAGTGGTTCAATTTCTTTTAATATGAAGATTCCGGAAGCTCAGAGAAGCACATTGTCACCACTGCCACCTTCTTCCCAGAATCACACTCACTTGTTTTTAATCCTCAATTTACTTATTAGATTATATTGGATTTGATTTACCCTGAGTATTTCAGTGCATTAAATAAATCAACGTGTTCGTATTCTTTCTGTTTTTTTCTCCAGAGTCCAGTTCCCATTATGTAATCTCCCTAAAAGCTTTCAATAACGCAGGAGAAGGTGTTCCTCTGTATGAAAGTGCCACCACCAGGTCTATGACAGGTAAGCCACCATAGCTAACCCCGCTCTGACAAGCAGTCGGTGTTTGAGTGATGGCAAAATAAAACACAGGAAATGTATGCAGTCATGTTCCGAGCCCTACATGTGTGTACACGCATACACAAACTTGATTATCTTTCTGGTTTTCAAATGGAAGGAAGAGAAGTTCAGTCTATAAACTATACATGGACTTAGGGAAAGAGCTCTCATTCTCTCCTCGGAGTGGCTTCCTGTTTTGGCGCCCTGATACCACCCTTCATTCCCCGAGGAGCGTGCCTCCCAGCGATGCCACTTTGGCGAGAGGGTCTCTGCACAAAGGCCCCCAAATGCCAGGAGGAGCCATTGCTTCTCTGTAGATCCTTCAGGCTCATTGACAAGGATGACCTGCCCTCCTGGGGGTGCAGGGGCTGGGCCAAGCCCCCCAGTGCCTTCTTCCTGGGTTGGACCTTCAGGTCACTCAACAGTGTCCAGGGCCCCTGGACAGCAAAAGGATTGGCTGCTCCCCGGGCGTGTCTCCTCTGGGAATTCTCAGGTGAGCTGGACTGTAAAGGCCCCACACAAGGGAAAATGGGCTCAAAGAACTGAGGGAAGGATGGGTAAGAAAGTGAGATCCAAGCTGTTTATGAAGACTATTTCTGAGCAAGGCTGGGCTTTTTAAAAGACAGAATAAGTGACACCTCTGTGGTCTGTTCAGGGCACCGGAAAGTCACATGACCACCCCAGTGGTCTTATGTCTGAAAGTAAAACCCAAGATGTTCATCTCTTTAGTGAATACTTTGGCCCCAACCTCTTTCAAAGTCCACAACCCTCAGACCTCAGATAACCTACCACCTACATGTACGTGATGAGAATAAAGGATCTAAGGGCAGGGTTTGACAGTGAGCACAGAGGACATGGAAAACCCCTGAGTGCCCGAGAGTGAAGCCCTCGCAGGCAGGAATAAAGGAACATAACATAAATAGTGGAATCCAGTGACTTCTGCTACCACCTAAATTTATGTGAACTTTAAACAGTTTGTTTTCCACACTCAACAGCTCCATTCGTCGACTATGTGGAGAACGCACAGTTGTTGTGTGGATTCACAGCAGTTACATGATGGTCTCCAGGGCATAGCATCACTATTGATTTCAGATTCAGTAGGCGAAGCTGTTATTCCAGAGTCTCTTTGACCTTTTGGCCATTGGTTTCAAGGTCTATTTTCTGCCGAAAGTGACGTGTGCAATTTGTGTATATTTCCATCTATACAGTTATCTGTGGAGACACTACATATTTTTCATTGTGTTATCAAAGAAGCTCATGACTCCCCAAAAGGGTCAGCAAGAAGCATTTTTTAGTTATATAAGTTCATAGATAAATACCAACAAACAGCATTACTTAAAATTTGAGGGATGCATTCTCAAACTGAGATTCCAAAAAATTCAATGTCATGAAAAATATTCAGAAATAGCAGGATTGAGGTATTGACATTTCTTGAAGTAGAATTACTACTTTCAAAACATCGCTATTAAATACATTATCCCTACATAGAGAGGGATGAGGCAATGGAGGTCCAGAGTGTAAAATACAAGATAACCACCTCATGGGCGGGACCTGGGGTTTCCACTTCCCCTTACTCTCCTGCCCGGCCAGCAGCCAGGTTCTTAGAGAGGTCGCAGCTGGCTTTGGCTGTACCTGAGTGGCCCACAGTGTTCCTCTTCCTGCCTGTGAGGAAAGACACTGACCAACTGCTTGTTGAAGTGGCAACTGAGATTGTGATCAGGCCACACACAGTTATCCTGTGGCCAGTCTTTTAAAACTCTTATTATTGTTATTTTTACCGAAACTAACGCCCACAAAAGAGGGCCACTTAGGTGACCAAAAAGTAAACATTTTGAGCAGCAAGTGGTAGTCATAGAGACAGTAAAGGGCCACTTAGGTGACCAAAAAGTAAACAACATTTTGAGCAGCAAGTGGTAGTCATAGAGACAGTAGAGTTCAAATAAACTGAAGCAAAGTCCCTCAGAAGGAACCGTTCTGGCGTCATTAACTTCACTTTTCCTTAGTGTAGGTGGTCAGTCTTTCATTCTCAGCATATGGCATTCCCCGAGTGGTTTCTGAAACACCAGCGATCCCTGAGACAGTTTTTCTCCTGATCTGACTCTAATCCTCATGGATCTGAGAAATGAAATGCTACCCAAAGTTGGATATGGTGTGAGGGATTTTCTTATTGAAGACAAGTCAGGAAGGGGCTGAAGAGGGATGAATAAAACCAACCCTTTCTGAGAGAAGGGCCTGCACTCGTCCTGGTCATGGCAGATTCACTGTGTTTCTGCGCATCGTGGAGAATAAAGGACAAGTAAACAGAAAAAGGTTAAGGTTCTGGGAGAAACTCTATCGATAAATGTGTCCTAGTGCTGCATAGCATACATGCTCTGACTCCGAGCTTCTGCGGAGTATTCCCATGAGCAGTCTGCGAAGAGGCCAGGATAAAAGAAGTAAAAAACCGCAGGCAATAAATGCTTCAGGCTAGAGTAAGTACCAGGCCCTGGTGCTTCCCACACGCGTGTGCGCACAGATGCCGGCCCTCTCTGGAGCCCACCCCATCAGGAATGTATCAGAATGAGAGCTGAGGAAAGTGTCTCCAGGTCAGATGGGTGGGTAGGGCTTCATTTTCACTATAAAACCTTTTATTTCCTATTGTTATAAGGACAAGCTATTTTGAGCCCAGAGAAGGGAGAGGGCCAGGGAATAAGGAGGTGTGTTGTTTGAATTTATTTATTCTCAACTGTTTTATCAATGTCTAAATGAAGTACAATCCAGATGTAAAACTGTGTTATTTTTTTTTTAAATAGCTCTTTTAGAATATAAATATATCGACTGAAAAAAATGCATGGGCTCTGACCAAAACATCTATTAGGAATTGAGTAGGGTTCTCTTTTTAGCAGAAAGTTTGAAGCTATATTTTGTCTTCTTTACTATTTTTTACCCTTTTGAATATAACCATTAAAAATAAATGACATATAAGACACCCAGGAGTATAAAATAATTGAAAAGAAGTTGTTTTAGCAATACAAAGATGTTTTTAATTGAACTACTCAGTTTCTATCCTGAGAGAAAAAGGATAATTTGCAATATATTTAGCATATATGAATCTAGAGGAGTGTTTGCTACCAGCTAGAATATTCTGCTTTGTTGGAAATGCTCTACATCTGTCCTGTCCAATATGGAAGGCACCAGGCTCATGTGACCATTAAGCACTTGCAGTTGGCTAGTGCAACAGAAGTGAATTTTAAATTTTACTTAATTTTAATTAATTTAAATTTGAATTATTTCTGTAACTAACGACCATTATTAAGCAATGCAGCTGTAAAAGAGGTGGCAAGTAGAATGACAAACCATGCTTAAAAAAAAGTTCCCTATAAGAGTCAAGACACATGTGCCCAAGGGTAGACATTTTTGCATTATCAAAGTCCACAGATAAGTGCCATCGAACAGCATTACTTGGAATTTGAGGGATGCATTGTGAAACTGAGGCCTCAAGAAACTGAACAAGTTGTGAAAAAATATACTCTTATAACTTTCAGAAATAGCAGAACTGAGTATCACCATTTCTTTTTTTTCCCAAAAAATATATTTTTATTGATTTCAGAGAGGAAGGGAGAGGGAGAGATAGAACCATCAATGATGAGAGAGAATCATTGATTGGCTGCCTCCTGCACACCCCACACTGGGGATCAAGCCCACAATCCAGGCATGTGCCCTGACTGGGAATGGAACCCTGACCTCCTGGTTCATAGGTCAACGTTCAACTACTGAGCCATGCTGGTTGGGCTCACCAAAAGGCTATAAAGTGAATATAGATTTACCAACAAAATTAGATTAGACAAAGAAACAGCACATGGGGTAAGTCATTAATAAGCTTGGTCAAAAGGGGGTTTGTACTTTAGAGTAGGCCTCCCGTGTGCATAACATTCTCCTTGGAGAGTCAGCTGGGAATAGAAGCAGGTGCAGGGGGCAGCACCCACCGCGGTCTGGCAACAGCACCTTCCACCTGTGCTCCAGCCTGCTGACCGATGGGGACCCTCCCGGAGGCTGCAGTATCTTCACTCCCCCTGCATTGTTTCATAAATCCATTTGGCGTTAAAGGAGCCCTACATAAAAAGGACACATGAAAGGAAATACAAAAAGCCTGGGCTCTGTCATTAAATTTTAAACACACATTTTTCTTTCTCTCTCTATTTTTTTCTTGCCTTTTGTTGTTTTTGCTTTGGGGTTTTATATTTTGCTCAAAAGACCACAGCCCAATACACTGCTAAATAATTCATTGGAAAACAGAGAGATGAGTAGGGGCTATGCATGTGAAATGCAGTGGACAAAGTGATCATCAAAACCAGCCAGTAGCCGCTGCTCTCAGAACTAGGCTCTTTAAAAACTTAAATTCTGCGTGTGCACTGCTTCCGATTCTCTACCTTCTAGAAAGTCTCATCTCCCCAAATGGTGTCACATGCCCAGCCTGAGAGCTCATCTTATTTTTGGTTAGTGAGAATACACATTACATGACATAAAGGTAAAATATTACAAATTTAAATGTCTTAGGTATAAAATAAAAGGCCCAAAATTGGGCTCTTACTAATTCTAAAAAATAAGCTAGACAGATTTTTTTGCAGGAGGAAATAAGCCAGACACTCCTTTTTATCATGTTATTTTAAGTTATTTGAATAGTTATAAATCTGATGCTGTCTATACCAGATCATTGGAGAAGTAATGGGCAAAATTTCAAGAAGAAATGGACTTTTTAAATATATAACTAGAAATGGCAGCCAAATTGATAAAACCACTCCAAGCAGCTGAGCCCATTATAGAAAATAGTTATTTTTGTAATATAGCAACACTTTCTGACGAGTTTTCTGATTGAATTAACTGTATTTTTTTCTGTTCTTCTCATGTTCCCTTTCATCATTATTGCCATGCATTTAACTCATTGTGATGTGTTACCACTGGTATTTATTTTTTAACTCTTTCATTTATGTATTTATCTGTTTGTTTCATTTGGCGGGTTGTGGAACCCAGACCCCACTGACCCAGTTGATTATTATCCTTTGCTTGATGATCTCCCCACCTCGGTCCCAGATGTCTCCACCCCCATGCTCCCACCAGTAGGTGTACAGGCTGTGGCTTTGACCCACGATGCCGTGAGGGTCAGCTGGGCAGACAACTCTGTCCCCAAGAACCAGAAGGCGTCCGAAGTACGACTTTACACTGTCCGGTGGAGGACCAGCTTTTCTGCAAATACGAAATACAAGGTGAAGTTCGTGTTGATAGTGTGGAATTTTAAACGAACTGTCATTTGTTAAATACATCATTCTATGTGCTTCCTGACTGTGAATCCTTTTGCTGCAGTGACTGCTAAGTGGAAAAACAAAGCATTTTAATAACTCAGTGGCACAGGAATGATTATGTCTTGGGAAACAATTCTAAGGCGAGGTAGAAAAATATCAAGAGATGCACAGTGGTATTTGAATTCCACCAGATGCTGGGTTTATAGAAATAAAATTTTGATAAATAAATAATACAGTGTAAAGGAATGACATTTTCCTTTGAAAATAGCAGGGCTCCACATTAATTGTCTAGATAGATTTTTATCTTTCTTTTCATTTGGAATCTGGATTGACACCAAAGGCCACTGTATTAATGTTACAGAGGATCTCTCTGACAAATTATTCTGACTGGGGATACGTGGCTGGAAGGTTTTTATAGCATCCTTGGAAAATACTCTCAGCCATTAGCATCCACTTCCTCTATTTAACCTTGAAACACCCTTATGTAATAAAGAAAACTCACAATGTACACCCCCTTTAACTAATGTGAATTAGACAAGGCTCCTTATTCCTGCCTTATCACTCAGTCATCTCACAGCACACTAAGAGCTCCTTTGAGATACACAGTTGAGGCATTGTCCTTAATAATTTTAAATCCCTTAGCAGCCGGCCACAGGAATTGCAACAAATCATTATAAACCAGGACAATATTGTTACCACCTAAGCCTGCCACCATGTTGGCATATACAAACAATACACAAATGTAGATAAAAGTGAGATCCACAAGTGATTGTCCAGCACCTACTTTGTCCCTAGAACTGTGCAATTAAACATGGTTTAGTCATTGTTACTTAATATATTATTTATAATTTTAGAATGAGTAATACACTCAGCTCCATAGATAGACTCTAGAGAATTCATAAACTATTCAAGTGAGATAATATACTTAAAATATAAAGCCCACGGGCTGGTGATGTGGGATAAATAAGGTGTTTCAAAAACAAGAGAATAAATGCCCCAAGAACCAAGTACACAATAACGCAACTCTGGCGCTCCAGCTTTTTATATCCCCTCTCTTTACTACTCTACTAAGGTTGCTCTCAGAGAGAATTTGGAACGCATTTTACTTTATCCAACGTTCATTCCACCAAACTGCCATCTTGCTTAATCCAGCCTCCATCCAGTGGTGTTCAGGGGGATGAAAATATCCTTTGGAAACTTCTGATTGTAAAATCCTGGAGATAAAGCAAAATCCGACCAATAGTTTCATGTCAGCCTTTCTTCATGCAGCCATGCTCAATTTGCTTCTAGTATTTAACGTTTAAATGGCATAAAATTCACATTTCATCATAAATCAGTTTTTAGTTGAAACCATTTCTTTTAAGAAAGGGCTCTTTGGTATTGCCTCCATGCTAGGTCAGGTTTTTGGAAAACTCTCCAGGGAAGCCCATAGTGTCACTGATATAAGATATTGTTGTAAGTATCCTATCCACATCCTTATAGTATTAGATTTAATACTCAACAGAGCTATGAATAGAGATAACATTATCAGATAAGACAACCAATGAAACATGAGAGCATTAAAAATAATATTTTTATATACAGGTTGCCCAATTCTAAGTTTACTTTAAAATGGCTACTTAAAATAATTTATGATCATAATTGCTATACTTTGTTACATTCATTTCACAAAAAGACCATGGGTACTTGGCCATTCTGTGAAATGTTCTGAAGGACAATGGTTGCTCTCTGCACAACAGTTTGAGTTCCAAAATTTCTTGAGTGAGGCAAATTATTTTAGATGAATAGACTAATACAGCAGACACAGAATTACTGGGTTTCACAAAGAATGCCTGGAAAGCGAGACCCCACCCCAAAACTATTCTCTCATAGGTTGGAGTTTGGAAATAAAAAAAAATAATAAAAGGATTTAAACTGTTTTTCTCCACATTATCTTCCCTGACTCAAGTCTTTCAATTACTAATATTCAAGCCCCCTTCTCACACATGCACTGTCTACATCCACACCCCAAGAAGAAGGGTTAGAAGGAAGAGTTGGGTAAGCTGGAGAACAAGGATAACTGTAGAACATATCTGATCCACTAGAAAGAACATACAATAACTTTAAATTTTATAAATAGTGGTAATAGAATGTTTTGGTTTTGCGTTTTGAACTTTTCAAACCACTGTCATGATATTATTTCATCTCACTTACCAGCTTTATAAGGTAGGCAGGGCACACACAAGATAGAGGGCAACAAACACATAGGTGGAGTCACATGACCCGGGCTCAGGAGTTGGCCTCACTCTGTCCTCTCAGGTCACTTAATTTAATCTGATTGTTCTCATCTATATGATTGGGATATTCGCACCCACTACAGAAAGAATAAGTGAGCTTCTTCATAGTTAAACATGTATGTAGTTGTGTTTATGAAGACTTGGGTAGGTTGTATAACTTGGCAAAAATTCCCTATTAAAGGAGAGCTGGAACTCAGGATGACTAGATGCCATATTCAGGGCTCTCCTCACAGGAGCACCTTTCTACCTCATTTAGTCTCAAATCCAGCCATAATCCAGACTTTCCTATTGTCATTGTCCAAAACTCCAAATGGCTTTATCAAATGGAGAAAGAGTCTATAATTTCTTTTCTACTAAAGTGATTAATCACCTGATGCTTTATACAAATTTTCATTCCAAATACATTCCTAGAGTACCAACTAGCATTTACCAGACATCGCATGGGTATTACAGAAGATACAAAGTTATGCAAGATTGTCTCTGCCCTCAAGATGCTGACAACTCAAAACAGAATTGAACACATGCCTAAAATTATATAGCACATTAAGCAATGCATGAAATATTATAGCCAACATTTATTTCATACTGTGCACCAGACAATGTTTCACTTGACTTATTAAACACTTTAAATAATGCCATGATGTCAGTGCTATGGTTTTCTCTGTTTATAAATGAGGAAACTGATGCTCAGACAAGAAGTACCTGGGTATTCTATGCTCACAGAAATAACTGGCCATGATTTCCCAATAACTTCTAGGCTAACGCTTTATGCCGAGCAACAACTTTCTAATAGGTTCCTGAGAAAATTCAGTGACTTCCTAGTATTTATAGAATGCTAATGTGTCATTCTAAACCACAAATAAAGACATTATTGCTTAGTGGCCTTCCAGATGCCACTGGTGTCTATGCTCTAAGAGACTAGTATTATGATATGTGATCCTTCCTCACTGAAACATTTCTCATGGTCCCATCTCTCCCCTGTTTCCATCTCTAAGACTTATAGACATTCATGATGAAAGGGAAGGAGGGCAAGATTGGAAGTTATATATCAGCATGCCAGACACTGGCTGCCCGTTTTGTGTTTTATTTGATGGGATCCATCTTCCCGCGTCTACAATGCATTTTTCATTTATTTAGGGCACGCGTGTTTACAGCTGTTTTAAAAAAGAGCTTCTGATAGATGTTTATGCGGTCATCGCTTTAATAGGGTGAAAGGTCACATCATGAAAATGTTATTTGTACCATTAAGTATTTATTTGGTTTTATAATAAAATGAAGGATTTTCATAGCTATAATCTAAGAAGGATTCATTGTAGAGAAAAAGAGATGTATCACACTAAAGTAGTAAGGGAGGAGATCGGTCTGACATCAGTGGGGAAAGAGAACTTCCCTAGACATAGATATATAACAAATATAATAAATATAAACATCAAAGTAAATACTTAACTCTGGAAGAAGATAAAGGTCTAAATACCAAGCATAAATCGATATTTATAAGAGGCATAAATTTGCCTGATCATATGGAAAATATGGATTGACCTGTTTTTTTCTGCATTATCATTTTGATCTTTTGAGTAAGCAATAAAGACAGATAATTTATTTCTACTAAAATATCTTTAACCTGTTGTTTAAATGACCAAAAAAAAAAACAGATTCAGAAGACATAATATTAACACAAATGGAATGTTTTAATATTTATTCAATTTGTTCCCTTCCTGAACAGTTGCTTCAGTGACCAAATTTAAATGTGTGTTCAATGTGAAGTATGCACACAACAAAGAAACCACATGGCACAACATTACTTTGGTCCATTTTCTTTATAACAGTCAGATTCTTGAATCACTAAAAGTTTGTACCTTAAAGCCTCTTTGCAAAAATCACATGCAAAACTCTAAAAAATTAGTTTTATTACCAGTGGAAATAAAAATTAATCTTATTATCATGATGATCTATGTGAAATGCATAACATTAAAAACTAAAAAAATTATTATTATAAATAAATTAAAGTCTGTACAGATAACCTTAAAGAGGGAATTGACAGGAAGAAACAGAGTTGGTCTTGTTGCCATGGTTATTGCCTCACTTGGGAGTATTTATCAGCTTGCATCCCCTTTAAGCAACATAACACCTGATTTGGTGGATCATGTTTTGGTTGTCCAATAAGCCAGTGTACACCAGCTGACAGAAAGGAAGTAAAGTCAGTGCTGTGTCCTAACTCCCTGGACTCCGTTTTGTTTGGCTTATTTTATATAGTCTTCTCACGTGTCTTGATTTACCAAGTCGATAGAGTTCATTTTTTCCCCTCTTTGCTTCTTTCCCACTTGTATAGTCAGAAGACACAACATCCCTGAGTTACACAGCAACAGGCCTCAAACCAAACACCATGTACGAGTTCTCAGTCATGGTAACAAAAAACAGAAGGTCGAGCACTTGGAGCATGACGGCACATGCCACCACATATGAAGCAGGTATGTGAAGAAAGGCTGGCTTCAGGATTTCTACTTTCAACATTTTGTAAAGGTGTTTCCCAGGTTCTGTGGGAGGTGGAACATAGTGCATTTTCGGCTCTAAATTACACTTTATTTTATATAAACTATCTTAAGTTTTATAGTTCATAGCACTTTTATATTTAATATCATCCTCCCCATTTTAGGAAAAAAGAAAATGAATTCCTAATGGATTAAGCAATCTGGTTTTAATTGAGGCATTAACTCAAGGGATCTAAATAGAAATCTTCTTTTTCATGCATTTACATAAAGGCAGACAGCTATGCATTGAACTCTCTGTCCAAAGCATTTGTATCATTGACCAACAGTCACGGTAGGGATTTACTTTTTTGGAAAGAAATTAGGTACAAAATAAAGCGTTGCATTATAACTGCAGGCTCATGGATTCCTATCCTAAATAACCTCAGCTAGATGTGGGAAGCAGTTTTGGGTGGTCATGTTCATTCTTTAGAAATAAGAGAACAAAATGGAAAACCTTCATGCAATTTGAAGTAGTTCAAACCTGGGGTAAAAGCAATTCCCTATAAATTTTACCAGTCACATTTACTGTGGATCATAAAAGTTGAGTTTATTACCTTAAAAGACCTGCAGTGCACTTGACATTCATTGTTCACAGGGATCCAACATTTGAAGAATACAAGGTTTAACATGCTTTTTTTAATCCTCACCCCAGGATATGTTTTTATTGATTTTTTTTTTTAGAGAGAGAGGAAGGCAGGGGCCGGGGAAGAGAAACATTGATGTGAGAGAGAAACATCCATCAGTTGCCTCCTAAACTTGCCCTGACCTGGGATAAACCTGCAACCTAGGTCTGTGCCCTGACTGGGAATCAAACCCACAACTTTTTGATGTATGGGATGGTGCTCCAGCTAACTGAACCATGCTGGCCGGGGATTATCCTGCCTTTTGATTGGCTTTGTGATATTATATCATAGGAATTTTTTAAATATGATCACAAAACTCTTCTCTGGAGAAGTTGAATTTCTGTTTCTATTAGAATTTGTCCCATGGTATTGCAGTCCTAATTTTTATCTTTGGTTACCATGTTAACTCACAGAGTTTACTGCATTTTTACATTTTTATGGGTACTTTTTCTATACAAAGTTTTCTTGTTTGTCCGATTTAATTTCAACATTCTCTTCTATTTTACATGTGTACATATATTAACTCCTTCTCCTAGAATTCTTCCCTGAATGTCAATGTTCACATCTTCCTTTGAAGACTAAGACAAGCTTAATGAGTTATGTACTATGGGAATAATAAAAGTTCTGCTCTTTCTTTTTACTTAAAATGAGATGAAGGAGTGAAATATAAACCACTAAGACATTTGGTCTTCCCTGAGTGAAAGAGAAGGAGTTTAATTTCCTCTTAAGCAAAAAATGCAATCATTTTTCCCTTTCATAAACATAAAATGCACACCAGCATCTGACTTGATAAATGTACCCTATTGATTTCTCATCAACTGCCTAACCTTGTAGGCACTCCAATGGTGAGACAAAAAGATATTAACTTTCAGAAATGTGGTTAGCAGGAAGGGTGATTGTCAAAACAGATAATGATCTGGACAAAGGTGTAAATAGCGTGTGGATGAGATCTCTGGGTGATGATGAGAAGCAAGAAGTAATTCACAAGTGTCTGCAGGTTTTATAACTGAGAGAAGGAAATGAAGTGAATGAAATGACTCTAGGGTTTCCTTCCAATTCTGCACTAACATAAAGACTATAGGGGCTGCATTGCTAGGCACTTGTGTTGAAATTGCTCATGATAAAGACAAAGGTGGCGGGAGGATTCTTGAAATAAAACATTTCATTCTGCCCAGGTGATGAATACTTTACTCTAGTTAGCTTAAGTAAAATAAAAAATAACTGCAAGAACACCTGAAAGAATGGGTCTTGGGAAGGGACAGAAACCAGAGGTACTCCCAGCCTTCAGAGGAGAAGAACACTATCGGACTGTTATTCAGGGTGTTGCCATCACAATGGTTTGACCCGATATGTTTATCTTTCTTATTAACATTCTGTTTCCCAGAAGAGGGGATCCCACTGCTAAGGCAAGAGTGGGGTGAAGGCCATGAAATTCACATGACAGAGAAGAGCTTGTTCCCAAAGAAAGGAGCCAAGTGCTTCTCTTACCGAAGGAGGAAGGGATGGGATGTTGGACAGTCCAAATAACAAATGGCCAGTACAATTCCCATGGCTGGAAATCTTCTAAATCTTGAGTGTTACCTCCCATTCATGCGCTTCAAGACAGTCAAGCATGGGAAAAGGAGAACCAGACAAACCATAGGGCAATACTCGTCCAGTCAACTGAGACATTAATTATGAGTTTCCAATTATGTCCATTTGTAAATGTCAGGTCCTGAGATCGGGACTTGGTATAAAAAGCAAAGACGATATAGCCTGTATCTTTGAGAAAATTATAATCTAGGAGAGAAGAAAAATATTTATTTTAACCTGAAGCAACATGGGAAATGTTGATGAATCTCTATTCACCAACATTCACAGCTCTGCAGGTGTTCCTTTCAGAGTCGTGGATTCTACTGGTTGGTTGGTTCTAGGGTAGGGAACCTTGATCAGTGCGGCTGGTCCTGAGGTCAACCAGGAAGTCACTTTGTCCGGTTTTGCTGCTTTTCTGGGCTTGGAGCTGAAACACAACTGAGGTGTAGACATTATCTCTAAGTTGACTGGACCTCTGTCTCCCTGGTCAACAGACCAGAGGCTTTGTTCCTAAGATCATTTGATGCTGATCAGAACCTCCTCGTCCTGAGGGTTTATGATTAAGGGAGAAGCCGTGCAAGGGAGAAGGAGGCAGGTGAGTCAGGTGATGGATGAAGCCAGTTTGAATCTGAAGGAAATAAAGGAGAAAAAGTCATTTAAAGAAATGAAGTTTCTATGCTATTGCATCCACCTAAAATAATACTTATACCAAAGAGGCATATTTTGGGGGTGACAAATTCTGCTCCCTTTCACCAACAGGTGGGAAAAGCTCTAATAAAAGGCAGGGTTTCATACCATCTAATCTCATACCATAGATTCCTTGCCTGCTCTATTTTCAAATATTTCTTTGCCTTCTTGTTAGGAGATAACTGGTATGTTACCTAAGCAAGTTGTTTTGACCTGTTTTCAAATGCATTCTTTTCTTGAGGAGGGGCTTCTAAGGAAATTTAGAATTAGGTGACATTTCAATTATAAATCCTACAGTCATGACAGAGTTCTGTCCCTCGGAGACATGTAGCCGTCAATCTCACAAGTATGTGCACATTTGTTTGTTCTCTTATGCTTCTCATATTTTCAATGCAGCACTCGCTTGAAAATACATTATAGTCTTTCCTCCATGTTCACACATGTTCTCTTCTCCTTTGGAAGTCATTAAACTTCCTCGGGAAAAAATAACACACATTAATTTCTGTATTTGTGTTTGTTTGCTTCTTTAATCCAAATACTTGAGAGGAATTGTAAATGGTAAAATCAGCATGATATACTGCATGATAGATCCTGAGTGTCAACATCGTGATTAGAAGTCCCATAAATGTCTGTTTTCTCTCACATCCGATGACAAGGCCTTGTCTCTGTTCCCCCGGCAGCCCCGACCTCTGCTCCCAAGGATCTGACAGTCATTACTCGGGAAGGGAAGCCCCGTGCTGTCATTGTGAGCTGGCAGCCTCCCTTGGAAGCCAATGGGAAAATCACGGGTAAGCATCTCAGCTTCATTTGGAGCGTTTGCTCTGCTGGGCCCGGGATGGCTCACCCCGCGTGTGCTGCTCGTGCCTTTTGTGTATTAGTTTTCTGTCCAGCATCTTGGTTGACTTCCTGACCCTTTCTGATGGTCTCTTCTTGCCCTCGCTGAGGGCACTGACCGTGGAATTCTTTGGTGCATACAATTAGGCACGCGCGCGCGCACACACACACACACACACACGTGTGATTGGAGTTGCTTCCCGAAAGATGTGCACTTCAATTAGCATAGGCCTTTTGTTGTTTTAGTCTGTGCAGCCTGAGGACAACCTTCTAATGGGATGTCTCTGAGCATGAGTGACTGAGAAGAAGCCGGTGGTTTGGCAATTATAAAACACAAAAGACACCTAATGACCATGTATTTTTGTGTGACACATGGGAAAAAGGAGGTTTGTCTGGGCGGGTTTTCATGTATTTAGCTTGAAACCCCGCTTTTAGCTTCTTATTTAAATCCTAAGGTTCAGAAAACACTTAATGTTGACTGACAGAAATTGTACTTAATGAATATTTCACAGTGACAGATTTTATTTTACCAAATATTGCTGATAACATCAATGCCTAATTAAAGCATCCATTAGAAGCCTGTAATGTTAATTTAGTATGAAAAATATAATGGAGTTCTATCAGGGGTTTTGCATTTAAATGATCACTCTAGTCTTTTAATAGATGTCTCCATAGCATATAATTATTATGAAAAAAATATTGTATAACTAAAAATGGGCACATTATAGTCTAATTAACCTGAACCATTGGGTTGGGCACATGTAAGAGTCACTCCTTTTTTCTTTGCATACAAGAAGTGGATAGCACTACTACAAATTAGCAAAGTAATTCAGTCATTCTGTGATGCAAAGACAAGCATGGGAATTATAGTTCAGATGACATGTGCTTTAAGTGAGTGACTTTCTGAAATTTACAAAATGCAAAGGTAATATATGAAAATTCCAAATGCGATGCAAATATAAGTTGAAGACTTGTTTTCTCTAGGAAATTGCTCTTAGTGCAATAGCTAATAGAATTTTCATTTGAGCCGACAAATATGGAAAAAGAGGAACAAACATCTTCCCTAAATCTTATATGCTCAGTTGTCACTCTGCCAGGTTTTTTAAAATGAAGGTTGGCTCATTCTAATTTCTTCTTATTTCCATTCAATTTTATGATCTGTTTTCATTGGTTCCATTTCAGTACTTTTGTAGATTTTGATTGGTTTACATGATGACTATTTTATTATGTGACAAACTTATTTATAAACTTATGGTAAATCAACAGATAATAAGTTTAAGAAAAAAAAACAAAATAGAACTTTTCTAAATCAAAACAAGTTCTGGTGGAAAGAATTTTTTGTTCTTAAAGGATAAAACAAGTCGTATACTACCCAATTCTCCACTCTTATTTAGGTAAATCTCATCAAATTGTCAATGTAAACAATAGAATATGTTTTCAACTCTAAAAGGAAGCTTTATTTTGCTTTTCAAGATTAAAAAATGGGGACAATGCAATTAATCTAAGCAAAAAAATTAGTGTGCCAAAATCACAGTGTATGTGTAAGAGACCTTGTCCACATATTTTATGTCGAGTTGTATAATCGTTTTCACAACTAAAACTTCATTCTCTAATAATGGTATGCATTTATGAAGGCCAAGTTGTGATTTTCAGCTTGAGATATTTTGACTCAATTCAACAGAGAGCACACACACACACAGCCCATAAGACAACTTCTTCCTACACATATTTTGATTCTTTCAACCAAATTCCTTTTAGAAAATAGGATGATAAAATATTCAAAATAGAAGACCATTAGGCAGAAGGCCCAGGTTTGCTACACTCTGTTTCCATGAAAGTGCAAAGGAACATGTGAGCTCTTTCCCAGTGTGTCGGGCACCTGTGAACCTACAGAAGGATGTACTCCCTTCCTGCATTTCTATTTCCTTGTTTTCCTAAGTTCCTGCATCTGCACAGCAGTAGGACAGGGTGGTTATGAACTGAAAACCTGAGCTTCTGAGAGAGATGCCCAGGCAAGTGATTTAACCTCCCAGAGTCTGACTTTCTCATCTATAAAATAAGGGGATAGAACCTCTTTTGTAGAATCATTATAATAAAGTGCCTAGATAAGTCCCTGATGCCCAGTATGTACAGAAACAAATGAGCTATTATTATTCCAATTTGAAATCCACTCGAGGAAGAGGCTTTGCTAATGGGCTTTGCATGGAACCCGGTTCATCAATTTGTAAATATGTATACTTCAAAAAAGATTAAACAATCAAGAGGCAGATAGCAGGAGTCCCTGGCACCAGGGTGAGCCAAGAGATAGATCAAATCAAGGGTGCCTTGCCCCAGAGGAAGGATTAATGAAAATTTCATGATTAGACAGCTGTCACTGTACACATTCCAGAGCCCTCTAAAGGGAATAGGTGGGGGGTGGGGGTGTCAAAGATCTGGCCGGATTCATTCATTCAGAAGTTAAGCTGGTTATTAGCTCCGAGATGGAGTCCGCATTTCAAGTTAGAATCAAGCTAGGATATAAACTCAGGCTCCTACTCTTAATTATTATACTATGCTATACTTCAACTTCTTAGTATTCAACTGGTCCAAATTGTGATTTTCAATTGATTTATGATTTAATTTTTCTGAAGAAGGATTGGGCATGGTATTTTCCAAGTGATTTTAATACGGCTAGTTGTGAAACATTGATCTAAATACATGCAGCATCCAACATTATTTAAGATCAGAGATCAAGGTAGATAGAGGGAAGAGTTAGGTCTTCAGAGATTGTTTTCTTATTATTGGTATCTAATGGTGAAAGTTATACTTGCTTTTTCTGTGTCTCCAATTCCTGTTGCTTCAAATTCTCTTCTCTCTTTACTTTTGTAAAATTCACCTAACCATTTTTCTTCCCACTTCTAGGCTATAGCTTAGTCTTGCTAGCACATATTTCTTCCATCTGTTCCTTAAGCGTTGCTTCCAGAATTCAGATCTTTTTATTCTCTTTTTTTAAATTTCTTTATTGATTAAGGTATTACATATGTGTCCTTATCCCCCATTGCCCCCCACACACACCCCCACTCATGCCCCCACCCCCCTGATGTCTGTGTCCATTGATTAGGCTTATATGCATGCATACAAGTCCTTTGGTTGATCTCTCCCCCTTTCCCTCACCCTCCCCTACCTTCCCTCTGAGGTTGGATGGTCTGAACAATGCTTCTCTATATTCTCTTCGTTACTTTCTCTGCAAAAGTGTCTATATGATACCCAGAGCTTCAGTGAACACAATTGTCTCTTAAATTTCATATTAAAACCTCATAATGTATATTTCCATTTGTCTGTCTTATTGTATTCTATTCTCCAACCCCTCTTTCTCTACTTCTTTCTCTCTCTCTCTCTTTGTCTCTCACTCACCATAACCAACTAAATAATGCACTATTATATTCAGTAATTGGTTTTAAGACTATCCAGTAATGTGGACCCAGCTGGGCACTCACACTGAAATCATAATTTCCTGCAGTTTTTTATTACCATCATTTCCAAAGCCTCCACAGTTCACCTGGTTGCATAAGTTGGAAATTTAGTCATCTTGACTCCTTCTTTTTCATCTCCTCAACATGTAATCATGAAGTAAAATCAAATGCTTATAGTACACTGCTGAAAATTTTATAAGAACAGGTTTCAGATTTTGTCCAATGCCTTCTCCCTTATAACAATATCCTTAACACGTAGTAGGTAATGAATAAATATTTAGTCGGTAGAATAATCATTAAATTGCTATTAAATCTATTGCTTCGCTTGAGACCAACAGTTCAGCTCTTCCAAATATGACAACTTCCTTAAGATGTATTAATATTAAGAAAGAGAGAGAGAGAAAGGAAGGAAGGAAGACTAGCTGGAGCATTTACTATGTAGTTAGTATGTAGAAGGTAATTTAATAGAAATATCCCCACATATTGGGTTCTTAAAATGCATTATCTCATAGCAACTTCTTCTCAGATGATAAAATTGAGATGTACTCAGATTAAGCAAGTTGTTCAAGGTTACAAAGCCAGTCAGTGTTAGAGCTGTGACTTGAGGTCAGGTATCCCTGAATCCATTGCCTGTTATTTTTGACCAAAAAGGAGGAAGAAATGGGTCCTTCCATCCTTATGTATCTATTTATATACAAGATTAGCAGAATCATTTTTTTAAGCGGAAAAGCTCTGACTGGGTAGATCTTCTTGTTGGTAGGGGTCATCTTAGTCTTCCTTGTGATTCACAGTCTATCTGAGTCTTGGAGGGAAATCAGTAATGAGTGACAAGAAGTATGGAAGAGGACAGAAGAGAGGAGAGAGGTGGCATTAAACACTTCTACCCTTTGCTTCTGGAATTACAACTACCTATTTGTATAAGTAGGGTCAAACTAACAGATGTATGATGTTAAATTTTATATGTATTTAGACAAATGTTATTCCAATGTGGGAGTGCTCAGATGGGTTAGCAATCCCAGCTCTTACAACCCATGACTGGATATGAAACTTCATTATATAGCCGGCTGTGGTGGGTAAGAGACAAAAATGAAGTAGAAAAAAGTAAGAGAAAACAATAAAGAAAAACAGATACTTGGACACAGAGAAATGAATATAGATATACAGAAAGGTTGTGAGAAACCAATGAATTTGTTCCAACTTATGTGGTTATATGGAAATCTATAAGGTAAGACTTTCAATACTGGATTTAATATCCTCCGATCATACCAAACTCACATATTTAAACGAAATTGTTTGCTTTCTCTATGGCCAATTTTTACTTTTGAATAAAGTAATGTGTTTCTATTCCCCATATGAGTTCTCAAATTTACAAAAATAAAATTAAAAAATAGAGTTGCCTACCAGTATAAGGAAATTGCTCAAATACAGAATGAAATGGTCAGAACCTGATGCTTGCATCTTCAACCTTACTTGATTCTAGAATTGTCATTCTAAATGCTAAATTGAATACTTTTTACATAAAAAAGCATTGTGAAGGCGTATATTTTAATCTCATTTGATAAATAAAGAAAATTCAGGAAAAGTGTAGCTGACTGGGATGGAACACAATTCTTCAAACTTTCAGATGTGTTGTGCATTTAAAACAGCCCATGAAAACTTTAACAGTTTTATTAAATGTCATGAATGTAAAACTTATATGCTTTCTGGCTAATGGATTTCATTCAATAAGTGAGTTTCAATACTTAGTATGTAAAGATATTTTATTAGTTCTTTTGAATAATAAAATGTAATATAAGATATGGCTCCTGAACTAAAGAAATGTTTTTATTCTCTTGAAGAGATATGACATGCACATAATAAAAGCTAAAAAAAAACTATTACAAATATCAGGGTCTTATATTCAATAGATATAATTCTTTGGGGACAAGAATGGGGGATGCTCTGGCTCAAAGAATATCAGATTTTATTGATGTTGTTATGGGGGCTGAATTATAAATGAATGGATATTTGTGAGTCAGAAACAATTATTTTATCCAATGATACTTCATCATCCCTTTTGAATTATAATCTTCCAATTTTAATATTAACCAGAGAGAGGAGTCACACAACCTTTATAAGTTTTGAAGAATTCTTAACCTTGGCCTTTTACCTTCCCCTGAACTCTCTGCATCTTAAGACATTCATATCTGCAGTGTCAACATCTCAACAAATGCCACACATATACTAGTATACAGATCCCACATATCAACAAAAGAAGTGATTCCTCACCTTGCTTAAACACAGAGGTCATCTAGGGTCCCAATTGCTGGGGTTACATTTAACTTATTGTATTATCGATTACAATATCACCACAAACTTAGCACCTTAAAACAACACACATTCATTATCTCACTGTTTCTGTTGGTCAGGAATCCAAGCACAGCTTAACTGAGTACTCTGCTTCAGGGATTCATACAAGGCAGCAGTCAAGGTTTTAGACTAGACAGATGTCTCATCTGAAGCTTGACTGGGGAAAAGATTTGCTTCCAATTCCTGTGGTTGTTGGCAGGATTCAGTTTCTTACTGGCTGTTGATCAGAGCCAATCCTCAGTTCCTTGCCATGTGGTCCTCGCCATCTGGCAGCTTGTTCCATCAAAGCCAACATAGGAGAGTTTGCTAGCAAGACGGAAGTTAGAGTCTCATGTAACGCAATCATGGAAGTGATAGTTCATCATATTTGCTGTGTGTTATTGGTTATGCTCAGACAGAAAGGCTTACAAAAAAGTGTGACTACCAGGAGATGGGAGTCTTTGGGGGGCTAAGACTCTGTCTGCCACACCTATTAAATCAAAATGCCCTTTCTTGGGACCTATGTTTTGTAACTTATACCCAGTCACCAGGTAATTCTTATAATTAGGCAGATTTGGGAAACACTAAACTTGGTGAAAAGTGAAAGCTACAGCAAAAGAGATGTAGGTTTTTATCATTGATCTGAATTGAAGAGAAATGGATTTCTGGATCTTGGAATTTGCAACAATTCTTTTTTTTTTAAATATATTTTATTGATTTTTTTACAGAGAAGAAGGGAGAGGGAGAGTTAGAAACATCGATGAGAGAGAAACATCAATCAGCTGCCTCCTGTACACCCCCTTCTGGGGATGTGCCCGCAACCAAGGTACATGCCCTTGACCAGAATCGAACCCGGGACCCTTCAGTCTGCAGGCCGACACTCTATCCACTGAGCCAAACCTGTTAGGGCTTTGCAACAATTCTTAATCCTGCAGAATCACAAGGAAGACAGATCCAGTTCATTGTTTAGAACGCATCCCTCCAAACCCAAGCATCATTGAGGTTAAATATGGCATTAAGTGACAAATGATTAAAAATTATATAAATGTTCTTTTACTTTACTGAAGTGTGTGGCAAAGTCTACAAAAAATTTCTCACTATAGAGGAAGGTTTTATATGTTAGATGTAGCTTGAACTAGACCTTGGTGGATGGGTAGAATTTGGATGGAAAGAGTGAAGAATAAGTGGTAGGTGGGAACAAACATAGTATGGAGACCTCACTGCAGTCCACCGGGAGTAAGTGTGTGTGTTTTCATGTAGGTAGTGTGCATGGTTATTGGAGGAGGACAGTGAATCTGAGTCAAAGAACCTTATGATATAACCACAAAAGATCTATGTGTGAGGGTCCCCAATCCTAACAAGATAAGCAGGACTCAAAAGGAAGGAACCAGTCGATCAAAGACTGCTGTTTTTAAAAATATGATTTATAAAGAACATATTCAGTGTATAAAAATAGAACTACGGAGATTTGTGGCCTAGCTGATGTAGCCATCTGTGCAGAATTTTAACAGAAATGGAGGCTGGCACTATAGTCATAGACCAAAGACACCTATGATGAGCTATTGTACAGTTTCATCTGATAGTCTAATACAAAATTGTGAATTAATGTGTTTAAATAAAATCTAGTTTACATATTGGCTAAATATAATGTTAGAATATTAATATATTACAGGGTTTACTTGGGTGCATGTTAGATTATCACCACTGAGTACCCTAGTAGTATTCAAGTAACATCCCCTAACACAGAGGGCAAATGATACTATCAGATGATAGATTATTAACATTTGAGATAGTAACTAGATAACCTACAATTATCCAGAAATACATTGTCTTTTTTTCCCTAGGTGGGACGGACTAGGGGAAATAGTGTTGGATATTATCAGTAGAGGATATTATCCTAGCTTTTTTACCCCTAGCTTGGGTCGTTTTCAACTTTATCATCTGTGAAAGGAGGCAACAGTGCTTCTGCCAGCCTCACAGAGTTATTACGATAAACGTATATCACCGTTTCTTTTATAACACTTTAAACAAGCACGGCATGTTATGCTTTTCAGTGTATTTTTATTACTTAAGCATAAGCCACAATAAATACTCCTTGTTTTCATTATTGGAATATGGTAAAAATTATACAGAGTTGTTATCTATGTTTTACATTTTGTCATGCTTATATATTAGAATAAACCAATAATTAGAATTTGTAGGCAGCAGAATCTTCACATTTTTAAATGACATATATTTTTTTATTTCTATCTTATTCCATTTTCAGGTTCTGCACACTGAAGCAATTATTTATTTAATCCTTGCAATATGAAAAAAAATTATTACTTGCCAAACCCAAAACTGTAGTTTATAGATTGTGGATATATAATAATCATTGCAAATTACACTTGGGAAACATGGATGTTTGGAAGCAGTAGTAGAGCAGGCTACTAACAAAGCTTGCATTCATCTATTTATGCAGCTTACATCTTGTTTTATACCTTGGACAAGAACATACCAATTGATGACTGGGTTATGGAAACAATCAGTGGTGATCGTCTTACTCATCAGATCATGGATCTCAACCTTGACACTATGTATTACTTTCGAATTCAAGCACGAAATGTGAAAGGAGTGGGGCCCCTCTCGGATCCCATCCTCTTCAGGACTCTGAAAGGTTTGAATCATTTTTTGCTATTGCCTCTCTTTTTCTGTGGGATTGTTATGAATTCCCTTCTACCATCTCTGTTGGCAGCATGACTACATGGGTATTCAAATTGCATTAAAATGCAAATTAAAGCTACAGTGAGTTATTAACTCACGCCTATTAGAATGGCCATCATCAAAAACACAAGAGATAACAAATGCTGGCAATGATGTGGGGAAAAGGGAATCCTGTACATTGTTGGTGGGATTGTAAATTGGTGCAGCCACTATGGAAAACAGTATGGAGGTTTCTCAAAAATTGAAAATAAAAACATTATGTGATCCATCCAGTAATTCCACTTCTGGGAATATATTCAAAGAAAATAAAAACACTATCTAGATATCCTATTTACACCCCCATGTTCATAAGAGCATTATTTAAAATAGCCAAGACATGGAAACAAACTAAATGTCCATCAGTGGTTGAATGGATTAAGAAATTGTGGTATACATACACAATGGAATATTATTCAGCCACAAAGAAATAGGAATTCCTACAATTTGTGACAAAATGGATAGGTCTCGAAGGCATAATGCTAAGTGAAACAAATCAGACAGGTAAAAACAAATACTTTATTATTTCACTTACATGTGTAATCTAAAAACAGACAAGCAACCAAACAAAAACACACCAAACTCATAGAAAAGAGATCAGATTTTTTTTGTTATGAAAGTCAAGGGATAGGGAGAGAGTGAAATTGGAGGAAGGTAGTCAAAAGGTACAAACTTCCAGTTATAATATAAATAAGTACTAAGGATGTAATGTACAACATAATGACTTCAGTTAACATTGCTGTATAATATAGAGGAATTTTGTTGAGAGTCGATCCTAAGAGTTCTCATCACAAGAATTTTTTTTCATTTTTTATTTTATCTATATGAAATGATTTATTTAACTAAATCTTTTTTAAAATTTTTATTGTTGACACTATTTCCTCCCCTTTGCCCACCTCCACCCAGTCCCTACTCGCCCCCATGGCCTTCACCACACTGTTGTCTGTGTCCATGGGCATATGCATATATGTTAACTAAACTTTTTATGGTAATTATTTCACCATATATGTAAATAAGACCCTCATGCCGCCACACCTTAAACTTATACAGTGTTAAATGTCAATTATTTCTCAATGTAACTAGAAAACAATAAGAAAAATAAATAATTAATTAAAATGTATCTTTTACTTCTTAAGCCAGCATTTCTTAGGAAGACCTATTGTATCACTGCATTTTCTGCCTTCAGCAGAAGGCAGACATTTCAACTTGACATTTTTCACTGATAATCCTAGGAATTTTGTATTGATTTCATGTATGTTGGTTCCATTCGAAATATAATGAAACACTTTAGCCATTTTATGTAAGGGAACAAAAAAAAAAGTATTGGATTATGTGAATGGCATACTCTTGCCAAATGTAAATATCTTCTTTCAGGACCTATTGTCCTTGTACAGTAAAGGATATTTTGATATGGCAAGGTAGAAAACCTCAAACAAAATGAATGTGTTTATTTTAAAGAGGAAGGTCAGCAACAATGACAACAATTTGCAGAATGATTGGAAGAAAACCCACATGCTTGTAAGAATAAAAATGAGCACACAATTTAAGGATCGTTATGTGTTCAGCACTCAGGTTAAGGATAGAAAAATACTCAGGCCCAGAAATAGTAACTACCTCAAAATAATCTTCATACACATTTTTTAAAGCAGAGTATTGTTTTTCTGGAGGACAGAGGGCCTCTATTAATTCATTAATTGAAAATAATTTCAATGCTGTATAGCTGATATTTAAAGATCGATATTTAAGGAGTGATGTGTCTTGTTCTAAGGAAGGATTCTTGGCTCTTGGATCTGACCACATTATGCCTCTATCTCTGGCTGAAAACGTGATACTACGTGATGGCAAACAACTGAAAAATTAGAAACACGTGACTCACATTTTCACCCAGTCATTTGACATACTAAAGAAGAGTTTTAGAAAAAATTGTATAGTCTATTTCTCAATTCTCCTAGGGACGGTAGCCTAATAAACAGTGGCCTTTTGAATTCTGTGAGTGAGCTATTCAAAAGCTGGATTTGGTAATAGCACATCTGAAAGTTTGCCAGGAACACACAAGCAAGCATTCAGCCTGAGTCTGTGACGGTTCTTAATGACAGGTTAGAAGTTGGGAGGGAGACAGGAGGAAATGAGCTAATCTTTGTCTATCCAGGTTTTTAGGACTTCATGTCTAAATCAGGTTTCATTCCAAATGAGCAATTGACAGGAAACTGGTTATTCATTTTGAGGGAGCATGAAATGTAACTCGATAATGTTTCACAAACGCTTCATCTTTATCTGCGGACAAGTGCCAAATTAATTTCATGCTCACAACGTATGCCAACTGGAGATCTCAGAGAGGGTTTAAAAACGACTTAAAGCATCCAAATGTGTTAAGCAGCAGAATGATGAGTTATCACAGGATTTACAGGCCCACATGGATAATCATCCTGTGGATGGTGTAATGAACTCCCTGTCTCATTTGGTACTGTTTACCCTCAGTGTCCTCAACTCATCTATTAAATGATCTTCAGCATTAAGAAGGAATTCAGGAATTTGCTCTAAGTCATAATATTCCATAAGAATCATTTCTAATATCCTGATTGGAATGTTTAATATTGTCTACCCTAGGTATGTCATGCTCCATTAATAACCAGTTAAAAGTTTTTTTAAGCAGATCCTGCTCATATGTAGTACACTGAGTTTTAGATGTCTTGAGTGCACTTGAAGTTATATAGAAATATTTATATCTCCCATCTTTTTAAATAATTGATATTGCACATGCATGCATCTTACGTGTCACTTGGGATGACAAATGTTCTAAGGTAAATAAATTACTCATCGTAAGAGATTTGAAGCCACAGTGAACCCAATTTACACTAAAGACATAAAACCACGCTATTGCTCTCTGATTTAAGATTTTCATTTTCCAAAGCTGCTTCAAAACATAAGGCCACTGTTCATCAGAGTGTAACTTTGACAAATAGAAGGGTTTGCCTATTGTCCTGAAGCTGAGGAAACTCAAGATAGTCGACTGGGTAGCAGGCAAGTGCTTTGTTGTAATCATGCCCCGTAGGCAGGTGCCCTCAGGCTTATATTCAGTCTTTGTAAGATTGACATATTTTCTACTTGAGACTAGAGTTTTATCCCTTTTTGGTTTTAGGCACCGGCCAGAGAGGTACAGGAAGCTCAATTAGTAATCACTGGTTAATTAAAGAGACATTTATAATTAAAAATGGATTAAGTTATTATACCCTTTATGTACATGGTATAGGTGATATATCTGACTCTTTCCTTGAAAAGTTAATTGAAAGACTCTGAAACTTGATTCTTGACCACATAGGATTCTTCAAATAGCCACCTCCCTTCCCCAGACCCTCCCCATTACAATACCTACACGCTGTTGAACCCTTGGAGGATGAGGAAGAATCATGTTTATCTCTGCCTGTCACATGGTTGTTTCTTCCAGTGAAGTAAGCTTCTTCCCATTGGCCTGTCAATAGGGAGGCTGGATGGAGTAGACCAATGAGGATTTCTGTGGGGGACAGAGTCATCTCCGCAGCAGAATATGGTGTATTCTCAGGGATCCTTAATCATCATTCTGAAATGTGCACTTCTTCCATCCAAAATATAGAACTGAGAGCTCTGTACCACCATACAAAAAGAGCTTTGGTCTGCAAAGAATTTTGTGACAAAATCCATTATTTTCTTGACAAATGACAGAAGCCATTAAAAAGTCCAGGTACAAATTACAATACTTTTAAGCCATTATTTGCCCTTAATAAAAAGTAACTATTAGAATATATTTGGTCATTGTTGGGAAATACTCTTTAGTAGATAACCTTCCTTGAGTCATTCAAGGTTTCCCAAGTAATATTCAGCCCAGATTTGCTAACAATAAAGCAAATCCAGAAGATAAGAATAGAGATCAGATTGTCCACAATAACATTGATTTGTCACTTGCTAAAAATTGCTTAAACTACAGACAGCGCATGTATATAATTAAAGACAAAGGGAGAGATAAATCAAAATGAGATGAAATTTTTGTTTGTTTGTTTTATATCATTGCAAACAGTTCTCCCCTAAATATGTGATACTGTGTATGGTAGTTTCTCAAGCATGTCTGTTCTGGCTACCAGACATTTACCCTTCCTGGATTGTGTGGTCACATATGATCCTGGCATATCATTCCCCATTCTTAGGAAAACCAGCATGGCATTTCCTACAACATGATGCCCATCCTTAAAAGCTGCATTAAGGTTCTAGCCCTGAATATAAAGTACAGTTAATTCAGTTGCCTATCAAAAGCACTTGTCGTCAAAAACACCTTAATACTGTAATAAAATGTATTTTGAGGTGCCATTAGTCTTCAATGAGAAATGGGAGAGAAAGTCAAGACAAAAATTAAATTGTAATGATTTGATTAGAAATTATTAGATTAGATAGCCTGCCAAATTAAAAAATGTTAATCTTGAGAAGATACAAAGACATTTATAAAATTTGTATAAAGTTTGTAGAATTTTACCGTAATAAACACTTGTGTATAGCGTTTTTCAAAGACTCATTCAGAATTCAAAGTCTGCTTCTTATTAGGATACCTTTCCTAATTTACCCTTTTCATATGTCTACATATTAACCTAAAAGAAAGGGACCTAGAGAGCACTATGCTAAGCAAAATCACATGCATTTTTATGGTTATTGTGTTTTTAATTAGACTTGTATGATGATCATTCTGAGTTTATGGTTAGAACAACGTGACAAATAACATTTTTAAGAACACGTTTATACAACAAAAACATTTTCATTTTTCCTTCTAATTATTTAATAGAAATAAATACATTAACCTTAATTCCTTATTAATTTTATTTTCATAGGGCATTGGCCTTGATATAAGAACTTGCTAACAAAAACTGTTGACTTAAAATGTCAGCTTTCTTGCCGGGAACTGTCAAATCTAATAATATTTCTTTTCCCCCCGCAGTGGAGCACCCTGACAAAATGGCTAACGACCAAGGTATGGTGTGGCTCGCCCTGCCGCGTTCTCCCTCCTTGAATCAGTCCTGTCTGTCCGAGATGTCACTCACTGTGTTGTCTTCCTCTTTTCACCTGGGCCATACCCCTGACGAAGCCCACTCTGGGGTGATAATTAATCTTGTTAATGAAGTTCTGCTTGGATGGGGCTGGGGCTCTGATAGGGGAGATGTAAATTTTCTTGAGAGGAAATTGTTTTGTCTCTATTCTGAAGGACCAATTAAAATGTCAAGCTTCTTTGTAGGAAATAAATTTTTAGTCTCTGTGTGCACTTCTGAATAATTCACATTAAGTATAATTAAGCTCGGCATAATTTCCAAGCTGCTCTCGCACCCTTTCCTGTGCTCGGATTAAAGTTCTGCGGCTCCGTGGAGAAACACCATAAATCATGTGTGCTTGTCCTCTGCCACCAGCTTCCTGCAATTAATAAACACAAAGTGAGGTCAACTTTTTTAGGGCATCGCTGTTGTTCATTGCGAAGCCAGAGGGCTTTCATTCTTTGAATAGGACGCTGGGTGGACTTGGAGGATTGTATCCTCTTTCCACTCTTTTGCTAAAAGCTTGACTTGTGTAGAGAAACAGGGATGGTTTTACACAAAGGAAAATGGGGATAAATGAGAGTTATCCATCAACTCACAGGGAGATGTGAATTTGGGAATACCATGATTCGTAGAGTGAAAAATTAAGATTCCATTATTTTTTCACTACGAGTGATTAGTAGGATGTTAGAGGAGCAAAATAATATTTATGAGTTTTATTTTGGGGGGATGTTACATTTAAAGAAGGGAGAATTTGGAAATACCACTGGTTATAGTCTGTGTTCGTTATTTGTTGGTTCAGAGCCTATGACTTGTCTTCTGCTTTGGATAGCGACTGTCAGCACAACCTGCTTGCAAGCATCAGGTCTCAGAAAGTTCTGTCTTGTAGACTGGGGAACATATCCTTTTCAACAAGAATATTTTTTAAATTTTAAGCATCTGTGGTTGGTAAGGCTCACTACTAACAGAAGGTTGCCTACATGAGTGGTATTTTAGTTAATGATCCTATATTCAGGTTCAGCTCTGGTCCTTATACCTTGCCTCTGCTGAGGAGAACGTGGTGAGGGTCCCACACAGGGAGGAAGAGCGGTGATGCAGTGCACAGAAATGCCCACCCAGGGTTAGTTGGCATTCCCATTCATCACCTAGCTGCACCTGCTTGCTCCCACTTAAAAGATATTTTCCTAAGATTAATATCTACTAAATAGTAATATTTGTAAAACTCCAAAGGATGAGTAATTAGCAGTTAGCATATATTTGCTTAGGTAAAGTAAATAGTAGTGCTGGCCAAATCCATTGCTGGAATAATTTATTAACAGAAGTGGGGATTTTTATTTGTTATAAAATAATTAAAACAATCTCTCATAGCTTTTTAAACGTAAATGGATTTGAAACTTCTACAGGCATATATCCTAATTTTTGAAATTATATTTAGAGAGAGAGAAAAATGTTTAAAGTAACTGAACCAGATGAAATGCTACATTCGTAGCCTCTTGGGCGATGGAGTACTCAAGCTTCTCTATAAATGGATTTCCAGTTGTCTCCCGCTTCCTTTTCATTGTCTCTCAATTCCTTTCAATTGTTTTTGCTGTTATTTTTTTCAATTAACTCTTTTTTCATATTATTTTAAGCTACCAAAATATATTCTGTAAATGGATTTTTTTTTAAAAGAAAAGAGAATAAATTATTCCCCAGTTGCTGTATCACACACCCCCTATGTATTTTACTCAGATTTTCAAATTGACAGTGAAATCAGGTCAATTATCAGGAACAAAGGAATTCCCCAGGATGCTTGCCAGTGACTGAGTCTGTTAATATAGTCCAGCAGTTGTTCTTTTTCTTCATCTAACATTACTTAGGAAGATTCTGTCACTTATCATATACTATGTGGGACCTTATTCAATCACAGCTGGTATACAGTTGGTCAAATTGATAGGATCTAAATTTTATGTCAAACTCAAATCACTTGTAATTTGATATTATTGGACTGATGTTATATAATTTAGTGGTGATTAGAAATATCTTTACATTCTTACAAAGAAGGCATATAAAATAGTATATAAAGAGCTATTTCTAAACAAAATTAGTCTTCTAGGTTGATGACCAAGTGCGTGAAAAATAACCCAGTATAAAGATCCCCCTAAGGCCCTGATTGGTTTGGCTCAGTGGATAAAGCATTGGCCTGCGGACTGAAGGTCCCTGAGTTCAATTCCGTTCAAGGGCATGTACCTTGGTTGTGGGCACATCCCCAGTAGGGGTTGTGCAGGAGGCAGCTGATCGATGTTTCTCTCTCATTGATGTTTCTAACTCTCTATCCCTCTTCCTTCCTCTCTGTAAAAAAAATCAATAAAGTATATTTAAAAAAAAGATTTATTAGTTTAAAAAAAAAAAGATCCCCCTAAGATTGAAGAAAACAGTAGGAAAGAAACTGTCTCAGCACATAGCAAATCAGTCAATATGCTTTACTGTGCTTGCTGGTAGACCAATTTGCCCCTTCCCACAGCGAAATGGTCCCATTTCATGTTACATTATGACAGGTGCTGAATTTCTGTGGAGAGAAAATTCCCTCAGAAAAAAAAAATGAGCACCCTGGGTCAAAGTTAACTCAGTCAGGATGAACCCTAAATATACTTGATCTTATATGAGAGAAAATGAGAATTGTTTGAATGATTTTAAAATAGTATCTTTGTAGGCTCTTGTCACAATAACTTTTTCTTGTATTCGAAAATCTGCCTGAAGAACATTACTGTGAAAAGGAAAAGTCAGTTATATTCGA